TAAATGCTAATAACCAGCAAACTCTTCGTTAAGTCCGACTCCACTCGAGATACGATACTCCATCCTACCGTCTCCCCATTCCCTCCACCTTTAACGTATACCAAGAAAAACTACAAAATAAATGGCCCCGACCGTTCGAATTTTTATCTATCGAACTGTGTTCTCGATCCCCGACACTTTTCAACCGGCGTATAAAAATCTGATTAATACCAACGTATAAAAAGAGTAAAATAGTTATTTTATGCAAATAAAAGAAGCGGGTCTCTTCTACGTACGGATACGCAAATAACAGTTTCGATTAATGGCTAGAAACAAAAGATAAGTACTGTATCTCTACAGGGAAACAAAACCGCGCACTAAATTAATATTCTAAAAGTGTTATTACTCGTATAATCTTTTGGGTAAATTCCAAAGCACCCGACCCACCGCATCGGCCATTTTTGCCAATTAATATAATTACGAACACGGACGAAAAACTTTTTAAAGCGAAAGATTTGCCTTTGTTGTAAACCTTAACTGTTAAATTAAAAATTTAATTTATTAATTTTATTCAACGCGTCGTAATTTTAAAAAATTAGCAAAAAATAAAATTTATTGAATAACAAAGAGCGGATTTTTACCTGGTCTCCAACAATTCTTGGAAGAAAGAAATTTTCATTTATAACTTAATAGGATTATTTTACGAACGAGATTAAAATTTATTTAATTACGAAACTTTCTGATAAACATTAAACTTTATAATAACATTATCAACTTTCGAAAATTGTTCGATAAATAAACTACAAACACAATAATATTCTTATCTTTTTCGACAATTATTATTCTCAAGAAACTGGCGGAAAATTATTATAAAACAATTTGCTTAATTAAATAATATTTAGAAAAAAGAATTTTTACCCCCTTATGAATCTGGCGTATGAAATTAGGAAACGATGATGATAAAAATCGAATTTATTTACGCCGAGTGTGTCAAATATTTTTATTCGAGTGCCGATACAGAGGGACTCAAACGGTACTTAACAATTATAAATATTGCATCGTCCCTTATTTAAATACTATATTACTTATAAACTTTATGAAAACGTACTTCGTCTGGAATCTTATGGTGTTTGTATATAGGCTACGCGTAGTAGTCGAGTAGCCATTGTAACAACAAATTTTTACGCGGAAGATTTCGAAGCGCGGCATATTTTAATGAGATTATTCAAATACTTTAATACAAACTTTAGAAAACTTCGAATTGATATCTTTCTCGTTCCATTTATAAACTACAATGGTTCGACCCACTTCCACGACTCGCCGACCTTCTTACAAATAATACGGTATTGCTGGCAAAAATACTCGGTCACTCGACTTTTGGGTCGCGCTTTATTTGAAATTATGAATTTAAATGAAAACAAAATAAGAATGATTAAAGTTCACCGAATAAAACAAATTCGAGCTAACTCGTCTGACGTTAACTGCCAGTCCCAGACCGTAAAATGATTTAAGAGACTGACACTTTATTCTTCGGCCACCTCCGGCAATAAAAAGTAACTTACCTAATTAATTCGAGAAAAACAAATACTAACGCGTTGTTTAAATAAAATTTTACAATATCAAATTTAATTTATTATAATTTAGTTATTCCTGTACTTTTTATAGCTTTAAAAACAAGCCACGATTCAACCGCTTTTTATCAATGACAATTTATTTTATATATTGTCTATTTAATTAAATAAAAAATAGATATATTTGAAAGGAACCATTTTGCCTTTATTTTATGGGCTTTTTCACTTTACCCGACTGTAGTTTGAGGCTTTTAAGTTGAGTAATTGGTTAATCTACAGTACAGTTCGTGTTAAAGTATTCAATTATTAAATATCCACAGATGCAATCGCGATACGACCTCTCGACTAAACTTTAACAATTATTTTCCAATATTTCCATACCGCTTTTCAATAAAGAAAGGATAATTTTCGCTTAAAAGTACAAGTTTTTTTAATAAAATAATATTTAACTGTAAATTTTAAAAGTTTAATGCGATTATTTTAAATAAATGTATTCAAATAAATCATCACTAAACTTAATTTGAAAATGTGAATCCGAGTATATAAAGATTACTTTAATCATTTCATACGTAAACTTAATACATTTTTTAAAAATAAATGTTTAAGATCGGATTAAGACGTGGCAATGTTCTAAGTTGTAATATATAACGGATCCTACCCCTCCACCAAGTAGTACGAATGTAAACGTACGAATCCCGAATCCTAGCTTACTTGTAAACCCAGTGTTTCCATTTTACATTAAGGTGATATTAATAACTACGAAATCCGAAGGCAAAAAGTTACGATTAAATATATCATTTTAATTATTTAATATTATAATAATTATAATTTTCTAAAAGTTTTCTTTATCGTACGATAATCGTAAATTAATATAGTTTAAAGTCAACAGGCTGGGATAGATGAATCTCGTGGAAAAAACAAAGGATATTTGCATAAAAGAAATGACAAGAGACTAAGAAGTTCCCGAAAAAGACGGATGGATAATTTAAAAAAAACCTAGAAAATTAGGAATAGGGAACTGGCGATAGAAAACTCCGCGGCCGAGAGCCTCGAAGGATGGTATGCGGAAGAAATTAATGTAATTAAAGTAACCATAAGATCTATAGAAAAGAAAGATTTCTTTTATGAATTATAACGTTGGTTTTATTCTTCTCGTTAATAGTGTTAATTGATTAATAGTGCGCGTCGATGGACGACACGCATTCCGCGTGTTTATCAATTGCAAAGTTATAAGACCGCCATTGGGTTTGAAAGACGTCGGAAGGCGACACCGAGAAATCTGCTTAAAATTCGATACGTTGATATGATTTGGCAATTTTTCAAAAGGTCTTTGTCCTGTTGCAAATCACCGTAACACCAAACAGCGTTCAACTTATTCACGATGAAAAATGTTTTTTAAACATATCGATTGCTTTCGGTACATATTTTATTATCGCTATTCATTCGGACCATTTTTGTATTCGGCCCAGCCATAGTTTTTCTCTTATAAAAAATGCTATTTGTTTGATTTTAAAACTCAAATGTTCGGGTCGAATTATTATTAAAAAAAACAATTGTAATTCTGTTTCGTATCAGACGTTATTACAGAAATGAAACATTATTCTAAATATTTTTTCTTTGTATCTATTAAGAGAATTAGTAAAAACTGCAATTACGCATAAAAGACAATAGAAAAAAATCCGCATTGTATTTGCTCTAACAATTTCAATGTTAGTTAAATCGATTAAAGGAAGTTTTCTCTCTCTCTCTCTGCATTTTCTTTTAATGAAATGAGTTTCACACTTTGTTGATCTTTATTTTCGTTCTGTCTTATTTTTTATTTTTCTAAACTAATACCAATCGTCAACTCGAATCTAATTAATTCCAATATACAGTATAATAATATAAAGTTCGATACTTTATATTATTATACCGTATATTGGATAAAGTAATTTTTCATACAGTATATTATATTATATGAAAAATTACTTTTTTTTTTAATAAAAAATTCACTTCTCGTTTTAACTTTGTTTTCGAATTGTGGTTCCTTCAAATCTGGAAATTTTTATAAAATTCTTTAAATCGCATCAAAATTTTATTGATTTATACGCGTCATTATAATCTATTTTAGATAATAAATAATTCAAAACGCGCTTTTAGAAGTTGCATTATCACTCTACTCTTCGCTACTTTTAAATTAATTGAGTACGACGTAAAAGAAACTTACGAATAATAAAAATAAATAATTAACGCATTACAAATTTATTTATTTACGGAAATTCTCATTTGTATTCAATTCTGATAAAATTCTGGAATATTTTAAAACTAACTTTCCTTATTCGACAGACTGACGAGAGAAGATAGCCACTTTCAGATACAATTTCTACTCATTTGTCGTCGCCAAACACTATATTAAATATATAATTTAATAATTTAATATAATCCAAGACACTTTTAGTTGCCAATTATTGGAATATTTTAAAAAAACGTTCTGTTAATATATTGCTAAAAATCTTTCACCAATAAATTTAAAATAACTGTAACCTGTACAGCACAATATTCAAATATGTACGCGAAGTTATGTGCACCAAATGGCGATTTTGCAGATTTAAATATATGTATATATATTAAAAATTAATTAGTTTAGAAGCGCTTTCGTTTTTAATTAAAAATGAATATTGAAAAATAAGCTTCACCGTGCTCATATATCGAATAACAAGAAACTGTATCGCACAATTTACTTTTACTTTCTGCGGCACCTTCCACGCTATTGTCTTCCTTATCTAAATTTTTTTCTTCTTATAACTTTTCTCTACATTTTGAAATTTAATCTTTTTCTCTTTTTTTTATATTTAGCAAATTGCTTTTTATGGCCTACACAGTTTCTAGAAAGCGTGTAGGAGAACGTCAATACGTAAACTCGTTCCTCTACATCCGCAGAATGACTTTCAAACTTGATTATACTTAAAATTTAAAAATTACCAGTAATGAATTTGCATTTATAAAATGACAGTAGCTGGAGGGTCGAGTGTGGGATGAAAACTACTTAAAAAAATGTCCTCGAGCAGTCAACGACCTTTTACTCACGATTCAACTCTAATAAAATAGATAATTGTCGTTTTAAATTTAAGAAACTATTTCCTATCGATGTGTTTCCTACGTTTGAAAAATTACACTCGACATTTTTATCTATACGATTATTTAAACTGGCAAAGGAGAAAAATAAAATCGATATCGATGTGTAAATAAAGCCACGCTTATAGCTTACAGTTTGTAGTTATCGATTTTCGTGCCGTAGCATTTGTTGCCAATAGATACAAACCGACTAGTTTTTTAAAATGTATCATTAAGTTCGACTCGGGATTCTCTAATTATCCAGCTCTTTGCTACATCATTAGTGTATGACGTAAATCATCCACCTGAAGCCTCTCATCCAATCGGATGCGAGGAGAAGAATCGAAACACTGGAGTGCGGGGTTACTAGCTCACTCTGTTGGTACGAACAGTCGTGGAATGTAGCTTACTCTTCTTCAACACGTTGGAAATTAATAAGGTCGGTACTTAATATTTATATTTTGTAGTTTAATCAATTATGTCGCGAACGAGCTGACTTAATCGATGATCCGAACAATTAAATGCTTACGTCTTAATGATTTTTTAATCTTTAAAGTGTATTTAGTTTTAAATTATAAGCTATAATATAAGTTAACAATAGCCCAGCCATCCTATATTCTTATTACCTAATATAAAAAAAGTTGAAATTAACTACAGCCGAAAGAAACCTTTTAAAATGTAAACAATTACGAACAGAATCATACAAGAGATTGGCACTCGAAAAGATAAGAAGCTGAGCGGATAATTTATATTCCTATACTCCAGTTACGTATAATGTTGATAAACGGATAAGACTAAACTATATTTACAAAGCTCTAATTTAAATGTAATGCAGTTTGATATATTAAATCGGCAACTAGACAGATAAAGTCGGTAAAATTGCCCTTTCAAATTTTTAAAAATTTTTCCAAGAAGAAAAAGCCAAAATCGAAATGTCTCCGGCATCTTTGCACGGTTTTCTTTAGCAATCTCCATGATTTATGATTTATTATTGTACGGTGGAAAAATTATACGGGTTACCCTTACTATCATTTTCTTGTATTATTTAGAATATATAAATCATCCTCGTCACACGTACTAAAACTCGCTAGTTTTATTGTCGTCGAATTAATTTCATTCGGTTTCATTATAATTAATAATAAATAAGAAAATAATTGTTGGTATCATTTAAATTGGCGATTCCTTACGCCAAAACAATACTTTCTATTCTTCTTTCCGGATGTATTTAAAGAAATTTTTCCGGGTAAAAAATTATATTTCGATGCCGATAAAATTAGAGGATTCTTAAAATTCAAGCTGGAAGCTGATACTCAGAAAAACGTTAAATCGACTTATTTCCTTAAATGAATGCGTTTGAGAAATAATACGCGCGCAGACAGAAACGGATGAGCGTGTCAAAGGAATTAAATTAGAATTTTACAAGTTTTAAAATTTAATTTAAAAAGTTGTGCCTATTTAAAGGACACTCCTCTTCTACACACGCGTTTGTGTGTGACTCGCTTCTTAACGAGAATCTCAATATTCTTAATGGAATGTAACTTACTGAGATAAATTTTAACGCGTTACAATATTCTAACGATCTGAAATTTTCACTCGAAATTTTTTAAAGTTTTAAGATATAAAAACCAAAATTGAAAATTAAATTCTTTCATAAATATCACGCTCTGAGTACTCTACTTAACCGCCGCAATTCCTGTAAAAGAAAGGTTTTCAACCTGGTTTTCCTTCTCGTTTTCCGAAACAATATTACAGATTATATTACGAAAGAATAAAAATCAACCTCATTCTATACTTAATACAAAGTAAGAATATAAATAGGACAAATAAAAAATCAATTATGAATTAAAAATACATTTTTTTATTAAACACGCATCAATGTGAATTTTACCGAAATGAAATTTAAAGATATATCGATTATAATTATATATAAATATAGCGCATCGATCTGCAAATGACTCCTAGAGATTTCTCGACTCAGATGGACGGAGTAGCTCCCTCGAAGAATACCCACTTTATATATTTATTTTATTACTCCCCACTTTATAGGCTATATTTTATTATTTTTTGATATATGTTAGTGATCGATTCATTTATATTAACAATTTTACTTACTACTTTTTACAGTTTTAGTATTTTGAAGGAAAATGGTCTGTAAAAGAAATTCATTTCCTTTCCACAACGGGAGATTAATCATAAATCCACCCACACTAAAAGTTAATAAAACGAATAGAAAATCCATCCAAAACAGCGGCAAATTTTTAATATATCTTCTTTAGTACATCTTAAGCAACTGCGATTCGATTTAGAAAACTGAAATATTTACCATCGATTATATCAAACGAATTATTGGCCGAGGAATAAAGTTTCTCACGGTCGAGCAAACCGCAAAGTTATTTCAAAGATATTGCAATATCATTTCTAAATTTAGATAATAAAAAGCCACGCTTTATTACCGTTCAGACGTAAATAATTCAACTTCTCTATCGACGTGCACGGAACTCCTAAGCAGAAATTACTGCCGCAAATAATTAAACCAAGAATAAATTAATATAATTTGAAATTATTTTCAAATAGCTGCCGAAGCTAATTTTTTTTTAAATTTAACATCTTTCTTATATAAAATTCAATAAAACTACCGTAAAAAATTCAAAAAAATTTTGGCTACAGTATTTAAAATTTGCTTCGTAATCATTTTTATTCGAAAAATGGAATGAATATACGTTATCGCCATATCATTCAGTTTAATGTCAACTCAAATAATTCCTATCCGGTTGATTCTAAGGGGCTACCGGACTTAAGCCCTCGCCATTGGCACAAAAAATTTATTAAAATTCGTGTGTTCGTGAAATTCGTACTCGTCGCCATAAGTGAAAAACCACGTTCTTCGTAGTATGATTTGTCGGACCATCCGCGATACGATCGTCGTGTATGTGTTAATAAAAGATATATATCAATTGAAATATTTTAAATTTTTAAGTTAGGTACTGTACGTCATCCTTTAGGTACTTCGGAATCCGCTGCCGATTCCAGTGTATTACGAATATACGTTATATATAACATTAAACTCCCATCTTCTTTATCGAAACGACGATAATTTAAAAATTTGTTTATTTAAAGGAAATATTTACTCGGAATACGTTCAATATATCGAACATTTTCTGTTTCTTTACGTCAAAACAGATTTAACACGAGTCTTCTTATTCCTTCTTATCTTGTCCAGTTTTCTTTTTACCGTCACTCTATATGCTTTTATGTTTCTTTCCAAACCGCTTCGACATTTATCCAACTTGTCTTTGATCCGCATCAACCTTCTTCTTTCGTAATTTGTTATTTAACAGCCTTATCTTCCGTTTTCTTGTGTAATGAACTATCTTCTTCGTCTAAGGATTTCTTTATTTACCAAAAAGTTTTTTTAATCACAACATTTCTATTTCATCTATATATATATATATATATATTTTCCTCGTTCTCTCCTTTTCATTTCAATTTGTAAAGCTTCGAGTCGAATGCCAAATATATGTTTTGCAGTATACAGTAAAATATTTCAAATGTTCGCAAAGCGTGCATTTCAAAAATATTATTTTTATACTGTATATTAAAATTTTTATTTTAAAATTTAAACTGTAGACTTACCTATAACCTAAAATATCGATAGAGTCATAAAACTTTTAGTTTCTTCGGCTTGTACGCCTACTCCGAATCTTTTAGTATTAGGTATCGATTATCTGTGAAATATTAAACAGATTTTAGAAGTAGACAGTACAACGGTAATGCAAAAGAAATGTCCTAGAAATAGTATGTAGAAATCCAATATAGATAAATGAAAGAGGACGTTCTTTTCATAATTTATATTTAGGTTTTGGTGTACGCACAAATGTGAATGAAAAAACTGTCGTAAACTGTGAATTTATACTTTGAAATCTTTCGAAATAAATTTTTAATTAAATATTTTCATACCTGAATTTTCTCGTTAAACTTTGTTTGCGTAGTGACGTACAAATCTCAGTAATAGAACCTTCGAGCAACGAATATAGGCCTATATACTAAAGTTTAATCTCATTTTTATAAACCTTCTTAAAATTACCAATGAAATTATTAATAAATTTAATTAATAAAGTTGGATATAATCTAAACATTAAATAACAAATAAATAAATTAAAGATATCTTATATATAAATATTCCAATCGGTTTTTTATAGCTTTAATTAAAAAATAATATCAAATCTTCCGGAATATTTATGATCGAACTAAGTTCCGTTAGAACTTTTTTCCACTTATAAAGAAAAAATTGAAAAGTGAAGCATTTCAATTGCAAATTAGAATTATTTTACTCGAATTTTGTACGATAAATTTTCGCCCGTCTCGAGTGTGTCTCAAAATACTAGATTTATTGATCATTTTCTCGGATTTCACGAAAGAAAAAATTAATCACTTTTCTTTTTAAAAAGAATTTCCCATTGTTTCATCCAATGTTCATAAATTTGGAAGATAATCCAATAAATTTTAAAAAAAATAAGTTAATCCACTGATTTATTTACAGATTAAAGTATATCAAATTGTGCGTGTAAAAAAATTGTAAAACAAAACTCTTTTATATTACTTTCTACAATACTTTAAAATAAAAATAGATTTATAGTTTATTTTAATTACAATGCGTTAATATTTTTACGCAGTTTCTTCAAAGTAAAATAATAATAAATTTATTGAAATACTCCTTAACGGTTTTTTTTCTAAAATTGTGTTTGAAATTTTCAAATGAACTTTTTTTTCCAAAACCGAATAAAACAATTTGCGTACTCAAAGAATTTTTACATATATCATTATTAAACTGACAAATTTCTTTATTTAAAAAATTGTTTTCAAGACTCGTTTTTATAGTTTTTTCTTTACCGTGCAAGTATAAAATAGCATATAGAAAATTGATTGAAAAGGATATACATAAAAAAGATTTTTAAAAACTTTTATTTTGCGCACCAACTATGTATATAAATTTTACTAATCACTCGCAATACAATCAATTACGTGATTTTTATTAAATTAATAAAAAGTTTATCCCGTATATATTCTTTAAAAATAAAAAATAATTCGCAGGAGAATAGTAACTATCGTATTAGTAATAATTAATTTATTGTAACAACGCATATTACATTCCTATAGTATCTGCCATAACTATAGCAATATCTATACCAAGGGTGGGCAACCTTTTTTATAACATGGGCCAGAATAAATTTTACGTTTTTTCCGCGGGCCATAGTAGTTAATTGACACCTTGTGACATGTAAATTTTTAGCCTGCAAATATGAAATAAATAAATAAATAAAAAGAAATTAATTACTACAGTCGACCTCCCCTATAACACCGTTAATTATTCCGTTTTATATGAATTCCGTGTTGTATGAGTCACTTAGATTTTACAAATGCGTGTGCCGGGCTGTGAACGGCTCACCTATTTGTAAAATCTAAGTGACTTTAAACACAATAAAAACAGCACTATGTAGTTGGATACGACAGACATTACATTTTCTAATTGCATAGCTTTTGCACATAGATTTTCTTGATGGATGATGCGATGAGATATAAATAATTTAGAAAAATTCTGTTCTCCCATTTTTTGTTTGAATAAGGAAATGACTCCCTTATTTTTTCCTGTCATTGCTGCCGCAACACTTCAGAAAATAATATTCAATTTAAACTAGACGAATTACATCGAAAAATATTTATTTATAATTTCTTCTAAACATCTCGCGGGCCGGATAGAAACTTTTCGCGGGCCGTAGCTGGCCCGCGGGCCGGGGGTTGCCCACCGTTGATCTATACTAATATTATAAAGAGGTAAAGTTTGTAAGTTTGGATGTAGGAGGTAATCTCCGAAACTAATCCGATTTCAAAAAATTCTCACACCAATATTTAGAATGGACCTTCGGGGTGGACGTAGGCTGTTTATTATTCCGTTAAACGTTCATATAAATTAAAAGATATCATTTAACTGATACTGTTATAGTCACAAACAGAATTCCACGCCAGCGAAACCGCGGGTACAGCGAGTAATTTATATTATAGCAATTATTATTTCTGGGACTCCGAAAAAGATAAGTCAAGAGGAACCTGGGCCACATATCCTTTTCTCTCAGTATATTAAAAAATAAAGCGGCGTTACAGAAGTATATTATGTATTTTTAATTATTTGATTTTAAAAAATAAAGACGTTAATCGTAAATTAATATAGTTTAAAGTCAACAGGCTGGGATAGATGAATCTCGTGGAAAAAACAAAGGATATTTGCATAAAAGAAATGACAAGAGACTAAGAAGTTCCCGAAAAAGACGGATGGATAATTTAAAAAAAACCTAGAAAATTAGGAATAGGGAACTGGCGATAGAAAACTCCGCGGCCGAGAGCCTCGAAGGATGGTATGCGGAAGAAATTAATGTAATTAAAGTAACCATAAGATCTATAGAAAAGAAAGATTTCTTTTATGAATTATAACGTTGGTTTTATTCTTCTCGTTAATAGTGTTAATTGATTAATAGTGCGCGTCGATGGACGACACGCATTCCGCGTGTTTATCAATTGCAAAGTTATAAGACCGCCATTGGGTTTGAAAGACGTCGGAAGGCGACACCGAGAAATCTGCTTAAAATTCGATACGTTGATATGATTTGGCAATTTTTCAAAAGGTCTTTGTCCTGTTGCAAATCACCGTAACACCAAACAGCGTTCAACTTATTCACGATGAAAAATGTTTTTTAAACATATCGATTGCTTTCGGTACATATTTTATTATCGCTATTCATTCGGACCATTTTTGTATTCGGCCCAGCCATAGTTTTTCTCTTATAAAAAATGCTATTTGTTTGATTTTAAAACTCAAATGTTCGGGTCGAATTATTATTAAAAAAAACAATTGTAATTCTGTTTCGTATCAGACGTTATTACAGAAATGAAACATTATTCTAAATATTTTTTCTTTGTATCTATTAAGAGAATTAGTAAAAACTGCAATTACGCATAAAAGACAATAGAAAAAAATCCGCATTGTATTTGCTCTAACAATTTCAATGTTAGTTAAATCGATTAAAGGAAGTTTTCTCTCTCTCTCTCTGCATTTTCTTTTAATGAAATGAGTTTCACACTTTGTTGATCTTTATTTTCGTTCTGTCTTATTTTTTATTTTTCTAAACTAATACCAATCGTCAACTCGAATCTAATTAATTCCAATATACAGTATAATAATATAAAGTTCGATACTTTATATTATTATACCGTATATTGGATAAAGTAATTTTTCATACAGTATATTATATTATATGAAAAATTACTTTTTTTTTTTAATAAAAAATTCACTTCTCGTTTTAACTTTGTTTTCGAATTGTGGTTCCTTCAAATCTGGAAATTTTTATAAAATTCTTTAAATCGCATCAAAATTTTATTGATTTATACGCGTCATTATAATCTATTTTAGATAATAAATAATTCAAAACGCGCTTTTAGAAGTTGCATTATCACTCTACTCTTCGCTACTTTTAAATTAATTGAGTACGACGTAAAAGAAACTTACGAATAATAAAAATAAATAATTAACGCATTACAAATTTATTTATTTACGGAAATTCTCATTTGTATTCAATTCTGATAAAATTCTGGAATATTTTAAAACTAACTTTCCTTATTCGACAGACTGACGAGAGAAGATAGCCACTTTCAGATACAATTTCTACTCATTTGTCGTCGCCAAACACTATATTAAATATATAATTTAATAATTTAATATAATCCAAGACACTTTTAGTTGCCAATTATTGGAATATTTTAAAAAAACGTTCTGTTAATATATTGCTAAAAATCTTTCACCAATAAATTTAAAATAACTGTAACCTGTACAGCACAATATTCAAATATGTACGCGAAGTTATGTGCACCAAATGGCGATTTTGCAGATTTAAATATATGTATATATATTAAAAATTAATTAGTTTAGAAGCGCTTTCGTTTTTAATTAANACGTAAAGCGTTTTAATCGATTGCTAAACAAATAATACAATAACTTTTAAGAATTATATTTAAAAAATGCAATAATAAATTATCAGAATTTAATATAAAACGTTTACAAGATGCGAAACTAACAGTTAAATTTACTCGTAACTATTCGGCTCAATTGGGTTCCTTCAAACATAAACATAATTTATTCAACTCGGCAAGTTTATCCAAAGATCCACATCTTCCAGCCCAGAAACCATATTCTTGGCAACGAGTATGACATTTATCTTGCTCTTTCGGGCAAAATGTCCATACGTTTGCATAACCTACAAAAATTGAATGCTAAAATTATAAACTATACCAATTATATATCGAAGGTATAAAGAAACTTTTAAGGAATTAAATAATTAGTTTTTTTCAAATATGATAGTAACTAATTAAATTACACTTAAAAATAAACTGCCACTTATTCTCTCACTTTTTTTACATAAAATTCGTTAAATTAATGATTTTTCTCTTTAAATACGCGGTATTTAATTAACCTCCAGTTGCTCCTTCCTAAAATATAAAAATATGATAATAATAATTACATTTTTTATTGATTAAATTCTTCTTTTCGATCTTTTATCGATTCTCACTTTATTTTTACTGGGATATTTCTTAAGAGTAATATAATTTAAAGTATAAAATTTAATATCCAGTTCCTTTGTACAATATTCCTAAATTAAATTTCCAAAGTCTTAAAAATGTTTCATAAATACTAGAAGCCCGAAAAGCTTCCAGTTTTTTAGAATTCTGCTAGACACATCCTTTACAGAAATGTCATTAGCTTTTAAAGCAGAAGTAATTGTATTCTGGGCAACTGTATCGCTGTATCGGTTAGAACATTGAAAATTAATGTTATGTTACGTCATAGGTATATGGTGTATGATTTATTGCGTAGAAACAATCTTATCGGCCTACTTAAAATGAATTGAGAGGCTTTCAAGGTCTTGAAACTTGTTTCGTTTATAATGGTCTTAGCTATAAATTAAGTTTTCGTAATTGACGTTATGAAAATTAAGGGTTCCGTGCGGATTTTAAAATAGAAACACGAACAGTTGATTACAAAATAAAACTAATTGCAACAATTATCGTCATTAATTATAAGAAATTAGCAGAACAAGATTATCTTAATAAATATAATTAATAATTGAATAAATAACAAACATTTATTATTACTCACTTATAATGAATACTAGCGAACTCATAAATATTAGAGAATTCTCTAGTATTTGTGAATTACTATATGCACGATTTTACACCGAAAACATTGTTAATCACCAAATCACACGACTTTTAAACTAGAACTCAAACCTGCGTTGGCCCGATTACTATAATGCTTATTGTGCGTTGACTCGGTGATAATACTTATTGTTTGAGGTACAGTAATTCAGTACCTCTATGCTCGATTTAGTACCTGTTTCATAGGCGAACAAACGATGGTAATAAATCGAAGTTTTTCCCTAAGTTTTGGAATTAATGTATTGTATCGTATAATGCAACAGTCAGCATCATCACTGATTTTCTTCCACCAATATGTATGCAAATACAGAATAAGAAAAAGGATCTACAGAAGGTAAAGAAATAAAACATCGGGTTAACGATTTTTGTTTAAGATAATCTATCCATTGATTTCTATCTTGAGCCAACTGTATCAGTGCAGTAAAAATTCTTTACAGTTGCTAATTAAATTTCACTAATATATTATTTTACGAATTGCCTCTTAAGTGCGCTTTTCTATTCAAATCCACTATAAGAATGTAATTTTTATTATTAGAACCCGCAATTCATCTAATAAATTGATATGTTTCCAAATATATAAATTAATTAAATAAAGTAAACATATTATAGGACTTGTTTATAATACGATATTTTTATAAGAAAAATAATAGAACTAATTATTTATTTATTACTTTAATTATTACTTATTTATACAACTATTTACATACACATATAATTTTATATATAAGTTTAATTTATTTAACAAGTATGAACAAGAATACCGTATAATAATACAGAGAGCTGCTACCGCAGTAGCGCAATTAATTATAAAAAGCGAGTAAACGTGAGGCGCAGTTAAAAACATTAATAAAAATGAAAGTAAAATTGAATGCATAATTATGTAAAGGAAAATGATAGAAATCAGAAAATTTTGGAAGATAATTTCATAAAAGCAATTCTGAGAGAAAAGCGGTAAGAGTTGGGGAAAAAGAAGAGCGAACTTAATAACAATAGATAATTAGGAAATACGAGAGAAGCGGTTTTATATTTCTAATCTTTATAAACATTACTTCTTCATTACGATTTTTGCAAGTCCCGAATTGCTTTTTCATTTTATTTAACACATACCGCAATAAGTAATTAGATCGTTCTATTTCGAACATGGTCCGTTTATAAAAATAGAAGATTAAACGCAAAATTTGATTAGTATTACCGGATACACATCAGCTTTAGAATATATTTAAATAATACGATCGATATATTTCGTGTAATTTGGGAAACAAACTTGTAAAATAATCAAATTCCGAGAGATAACGATTTAAAGGAAGCGTGAAAACAATGCATTTGTATTAATTAAAAGATGCTATCCGAATACGTCAAGCATTTCAAATAATTGAGGATATGTTGTCTTAAGATTAAACATAGTCGCTTTGAATATTTGAAAATTTAGATAAGCAAATATTTTTAATTAAACTGGGGACAGATATAATTGATTTCTATTTTAATCCATTGTTTCGTTAGGAAAAAAATTTGTATTTCAAAAATGTTTGGCATTTATACCGAAATAACGCTGTAATCACTTTTTTTAACATTTAGTTTAATGTTCCTAATTCTTTCGAAGTAATTAATTAATTGTACTACTGTATTTACTTTAATATTATGCTATAATACCTTATATTTACAAAAAGCTATAGTACTGTAATCGACATTATTGGGAATGGTTCATTTAAACGTCGTCGTTTTCGTTGACAAATAAACGCTGGTTTTGCGAGTTAAAAATTTTTTCGCCTGCGATTTTTCAAAACGTCTAGGGTAATCGGCAATAGAACGTGCCCGAAATTTTGTTTTGGCAACGGCATTACTGCTAAAAAACAACGTAGGAAATGTTGCAAAAAACCTTTGGTGACGAAGGTTTATCAAATACGAGTTTTCGAGCGGTGCGAGATATTGGAGGGCGGAAAACGGGTCGAAGAGGAACCACGTTCCGATAGAACAACGCGTAGCTGGAGTCACAGAGATTTGCTGCCAAGCGATCGTCGTTCAACAATTTGGGACATTCTCGAACACGTCCCGGTATCATTTGGATCTCGTCGAGCAATTTCAGATCGTTTGGGCCGGCGGCGCGCCGAAAACGACGACAGTTCGAGTGGCCGGAAAAAAAACTTTCTCCAAATGATTCCTTAAAACGCATCACTAGGGTGACGAAAAGTGGATCAACGCTTTTGACACTAAAACGGCTCGACAGTCGAGTGAATGGCGATGGCAAGGTGAAGTGAATCCGAAAAGACTCCGTCAGTAGGTCGAAAATGGAGGTCGTGTCGACTGTTTTCCTCGATTGCCGTGTTGTGTATCGAGAATTTCTTCCGACTGGCCAAACTGTGGACAAAGAAAATTACTCCAGCATTTTGCCTTCTTTGTACGAAGCAATTCGTATAACCCCCTTCCGATTTGGGGACAGAAAACTCGTGGATTTTGCATGGCAATAATGCACACGCTCGCAATGCTCCTGTCGTTGATGAATTTTTGGCCGAAAAGTCGAAGAGGTATGGCACCAAGTATGGCACCGTTTGACTCTTTTCCGTTTCCCCGACTAAAATTTCCGCTCGGCACCGTTTTGAGTCTATTGATATCGTGAAACCAAATTCGCTGCCGGTACCGAAGAGGTTTGGCGAAAACGGCTCGAAAGCGTGTTTTGATGATTGAAAAAAATGTTGCATAAGTGTATTGCATTGGAAGGGGATTACTTTCAAGAGGACGAAATAAATTTTGATGAATAAATTCAAATCTTGAGTTTTATTGAACCGTTCCCGATACTTTTTGATCACAAGGGTAACATATTAAAATATTTTAAAAGCAACTTACTTGAAAAAGGACATAATACCAATGCGAGCACTAAAATGCAGAACTTTAGATGCAATCCTTCCATTTCCATTACTTTAAATCTGCAATTAAAACTAAATTTATTACTATTTTCAAAATAAATTTGATAATGTTTTACTAAAGTATTTTTCAAGCAGGTTACACGCACTTCTCGGAAATGCATATACCTTTGTTAACAAATAAAGTATTCCGTGGTTTAAATACTGTAAGATCCAGTAATTTTAGCGGAGTATTACGGTATTTTAAAATGTGACTTTAAATCAACTCCAAACTACTGCGAGTATCGAACCTTTTTTCATTCCCATCATGAGTTCGGCCAGGCAAGATAAGGCAGTGAAGCGATTAAGACATCAGTTTGCTACTCTAGACTCGAACTCGAGTCCAGATTGGATCTTCAGGAATTTTCCCGAGTGATTTGACCCGAATACGTTAAAGCCGTTCCTAATCATTAGTCCACTCCACTACCAGCCTGGTCGACTTCACAGTAGGCATTACAAAAAAGCCTTACTAATGTCTGCCAGGCAAAAGAAAGCTATTATTCACGATCTTTGATGGATTCGGGCCTACCTGTAGCTCGGATTCTAGTCCGGAGCCAATGATCAGAAATTATCAAGAATGATTTAAACCGCATAAATCCGATTATGATATTCGTTACCCGATCATTCTACTGTAGCCTTGTTGAATCTATAACAAGAATGGAGAAGATCCTATTGGTGCATACGAAACGAAAAGTAAAGTTTAAACATAAAAGTACATTAGTATTATATTATAATTTTATATTTTGGAATAAATTACTTGCCGTATTTAAACTTTCGTAATTAAGAATAAAATATATTCTTTAATATTAATTAATAAAAATTCTTTTGATGTTTCAATTCTAATTAGCATTTCTAATTTATAATATTGGTATGTTTTAATTAATTAACATTAATTATAATAATATAAATATATGCTGTGGAAAACAGCTTAAGAGTCAATCCATATTAAAAGATTTTCTTAATTACGATATAAATATTTATTAAAGACCGTCTTCGTGATAAATTATTAAGTATATAATGATTAAAGGTGTATTAATTTAAGAAATTAGGAGATTTTTATGGGCTTTGTAATATAAATTATACCAGTAGGCTTCGTTCAATGTTCTGTAAAATTGTGAAAATAAAGAGGCAATAGCATATTATTCTCTGAAAAACGAACTCGAAAAAAATTTTTAAATGTCTTTAAAAATATCTGAAAATAATACAAAAGGACTTTTACGACCACTTCTCACTTACAGAAACTTGCCTTACAAGTTAGTTACAAACACTTTCTATAAAAGTAAGAAAACTGACAATAAAAAGTGTTAAGAAGTTTGTCAAGTTTCTGTAAGTGAGAAATGCTGGTCAAGGTCTTTTGTGCTATTTTAAGACATTTTTAAAAGTAATTCTGTGAAACATTTTCAAGTTTTTAATTTTAATGTCAATTCAAAATATAGTGCACTCGGTACTTAAGTTTTTAATTAATAGCCAATATTTTAGACCGCCGTTATAATTTTATATTTTCTTTTTTATTAAAGAAATAAGACATCATTAATAAACTGCTTAGATGTCTTAATAAAAATAAAATTATATGATTACTGTATTATTTTATTAATTTGCAGGTAAATTTCGTCTCTAAACTAACATTTTCAGATTTGTTCTCTCATTAATATTAACAAATCCAGTAAGACAAAAACGCTATATCTTTCTTAAATTTTTATCCGCTTTACAAAATAGTTTATAAAAAATTATCCAATAGTAAACTACTTTGGTCTTTTTTTAAAAAAATTACTTATTATACTATACTGCAGTGAGCATTTAATTAAAACATATTAGCATTTTCAACGAACTTTAGATTATTATTATTATTATTGCTACAATATATATATATATATATATATATATAAATGAGGATGTTTGCTTGTTAGTTCGCTATATACTCCTAGGCCGTTTGACCAATTGCTACGAAATTCGGCAGTTACGTTCAAATACCCATAACTTCGATCATGTCGTACGTCTAATTCCAAATTGTCGATTGGATTTGTATATATCGATTAATTTGTCTACATTTGATTGCTCGCTTTACACGTCGCGCCATCTGTTGGAAAAAAAATTAACTAAATATAATTCTTACAAAAAATATATATATTCACTGAATTACTGGAATAGGTAGCGCATAGCACTTGCCTGCGTAGTATGTTGTCCCTGTATATAGTACTTTTCCTGTTAGCAATAGAGTCGTGCCGGTTATGCTTCTAATTCCATTCAGAGGGAAATTTTTGAATCGAAATGGACAAATAACGTGACTGCCACAAGTCACGTTATTTGCGGCACAATCAGACAACTTAAATGTTTTTATATAGTTAATCTGGGCTTGTTTCTCTTACGATTTCCATGTTTGATCTGGACTTTCATCTAACTTCGTTCTCGATATTAAGGAAGGACAAATAGCAGACGGACGACAGTGCGAGTTAACATTAGAAAAAATTATCTGAAAAAATTTGATTTCCTGTCTACCTGCCCATTGCATTTGTGCCATTTTCTACCATCCAAGTATCGCTATACGTGGAAATAGTAGGCTGAAATAACTAAACTCTTTATATGGTTTTCGTTTTAATATTTGTTACGTCATAGTATTTGATTTATATAACTACAAAGGTTATCTTACGCAAGCGTTTATCACACCGAGTGACCAATCTAATATATTTTCAAAATTTTCTTTCTCTACCGTACATAATTTAAAAAAAAATTAAATGTGTTAAGAGTTTATCACACCGAGTGCCCACTCTACGTAAGATAACCTTTGTAAATATAAATCAAACATTGTAATATAATATAAAAGAAGGATTAGAAGTACGAAATAATCTTAATCTTAGCTGTTGTTATTTTCTGTCCGAGCAACGCCGGATTCATCCGCTAGTTTCCGATAATTATTGTCTTTAGCTCCTTACAAACGGCCTTACAATATATTTATTATTTTATATATATTATTCTATATATTAAAGATGATAATAATTATTGTCTTTAGCTCCTTACAATATACTTGTTAATCTTTGATAAATCAATAAAAGTTGTATCCTTCCACTCGAACGCTAGTTGTAAAGGTACTTTTCATGGTCGAAGAATTACTAAAATACACTAAAAAGTATATTTTATGTTAAAAGTACAGAAAAGAATAATTCTAAGGACACTGTAAAGTATTGAAGTGTTTTTATTCTCGATTATATTGGAGATATATAATGATTAAAGATGTTTTAATTTAAGAAATTGTGATTTTAGGAGATTTTTATGTGCTTTTTAATATAAATTATACGAGTAGGCTTCATTCAATGTTCTGTAAAATTTTACTTTTATTGTAAAACTGTGAAAATAAAGAGGCAATAGTAGATTATTCTTAAGAAACGAACTTGAAAAAACTTTTCAAATTTCTTTAAAAATATTTTTAAATATCAATAATACAAAAAGACTTTTACGCAATACGAAATTAAATAACATTAATCTTTTAATCTTCTATTTGTACCATATCGAAAATAGCAATAAAAACATTTTCATTGCCGGTATATTAAATATTTTAAAAAATCTATCTCGATCTAATTTCGTTTTTAATTTTAACAAAATTTTAGTACTTTGGGTAGAATTCTATAAGGATGGAGTAAAATTATAAAACCTCAGATTTCCCAACAGGCGCTTGATAGAAGTTCATTTACAAACTTATGAATAATTTCTTTCATCTCAAATACATCAAAAACCAAAAGCTATAGATAAATTAAGTTTGTTCGATTTATATAACGCAGGTAGTGTGATAAATACGAATCGTTTTTCTTCCAAGCAGAAGATAAAAGGGTTTGATTTTTGTTTTTACGAAAGGATGACAGAAAGGCATTAGTTTTTGAATAATGATCATTACGGGAACATTGCCAATTAGGAGAATGTGAGAGAGAAACATTTGTTTAATCATTCTGTGATCAAATCTTAAATCCTTTGGTTTAGTAAAAATTTGCAATGTACTGTATCTTCTTTCAGCTTTTCTTTTTAGCTTTTTAGCTAAAGAAATCTATTTTTTGTACGTAACTTTTAAATAAACGTTTCGTAAAATCATAAAAAAATACAGAAATATGTTTAATGATTTGTCTATAATGCTCTTGACCAAAATATCAATTTAAATACTAAATTTTCCTCCAGATTTTTTAAAATTTATAAAATAGAAAATTTCGGTAAGAAAATGCAGTAATTATCTGCATTTCTCCGAAGAATGAAGCTTCTAAAGTAACTCGTCCATTAAGTTTTTCAACGAATGAAATTTTAAAAATTTTCGACTTTAAATTGAGATATTCTATTCCTCTTTCTTATATATAAGTTCTGAACAGAAAGTTTACTTCAAAATGTTTAATTATAGTTCTATACAAATGCGTAAACAATTCTAGAAATTATATTCATTGCTATATCAATCTATCTCTTAACAGTCAACCTATAATATCTACAATTCTAGTTTATAATATCTGCACTAATTTGTAAACCAGTCTGCTACACGACCGTTATCGTTCTCCGTAACCAAATCGATAAAAGATGTTCCGTGGCAATATTCACGCTACGTTGCAAATTGTGCCATTCTTTCCCCGCAGTTCTAAATATATTTTCATTTCAACGACACATTTCTTTCTACTACGTTAATAAAGGACAACAATTAAGAAAATTTTCAGATTTGATTTGTCCTAGATACTTTCATTCTCCAAAATAATCGAGAATAAGAACCCTTCAATACGCTGCAGTCTCCTTAAAATTATTGTTTTGTACTTTTAGTATAAAATATACTTTAGTGTATTTTAGTAATTCTTCAGCCATGAAACGTACTTTACAAATAGCGTTCGAGTGGAAGAATACAACATTTATTGATTTTAAATCAATGGAAGTGTTTTATATCTTTGTGTGATTACATGTTTCAAAAAGAATTAGTTTTACGCGCTTCTTTGAAATTGATAACGACGATAATATCGATTAATTTCGGGAATAATTTTACTACTAAAATTATTACGAAAAATTTTGCTTAACAAAAGGACATTTTTTTGTTAGTATCTGAATTCTTTCTCTAACAAATCTTAAGATTTAAAACGACGTCTACGTTAAATCACGTTTACAAATTAAAAAGGAGAATTTTAAAAGAATCATATTGCACATCCCTATAATTACCAGAATCAACATTGAAACACGTAAAAACACAAACCTTAACCTTTTTTAGAAGCGTCTTCACCACCTATAAAATGTTGAAGCGTTTTCAGAAGAAAATGATCCATCATACATGAAATTTTTATGGCAGCTTCTCTTAAGAAGCCTATCAACAAAAGTCAAGATCACCTTAGTGGTTTTCAATGTTTCTTTTTCGTATTGATTCTGATAATTATGTGAATTTCGAATTCTTTTTTATTTTAAAGGGATCTTTTTTTAGTTTTTAAATGAAAATTCTCCTAAAGGAGAAATTTTTTCATAAATGCAACTTTCATTGATTCGTAATTTTAATAGAAAGTCCGCAATATACAAGGTATATATAGAAAGAGTCAATTTATTATTGGATTATATCTCATAAGAACTTCATACTTATTTCAAAACAAACAT